AGGCACTTGCATGCCTTTCACCTACAAAGCAGATAGGGACGCAATTCTGCACTCCTTTCTTCAGCCTGGCCTGACCTAGTTCTTTCAAGCATTTGGGGAGGAAACCAACAAATGGAAGATCGATCTCTCTCTTTTCTCTCTTCTCTCTTTCTCTCTCTCTCTCCTTCTCTCCCTCCTATCTCTATCTCTCAAGCACTCTGCCTTCCCAATAAATGAATAACAAATAAATCATTTTTCAAACAATGTTTTCAATGAAAGCTAAATTGATTTTGACTCTAAAAAATTTGAAATCCATACAGTGTTTTTTCAATATGCATCTCTAGGAACCTTTAGAGGACCCCTTATGGTGCATGATGGCACACAGACACACGAAGAGCCACAGGCTGGTGAGTGGTTCTCCTGGGAGTGCCACATGGATGAGGACACTGGTTCCCATGGCTATGCTGTCCCTGCACCTGCATGGGTCAATGAGGAATGCATGCAAATCTACTGTGGGACACGGAGACCGTGACTGGAACAGTACATTCCCCCAAGGGCTATGAGAAGGCTTTAGGCATCGAATGGGCCGTACAGGAGGCTGTATCCCATGTGCACCTCAGTCCCACAGGCTATGAACACCCAGTTACCTGGGTAGCGGCCAAGTTGAGGAAGTAATCAACCAGTTCCTTGGAGTTGTGCTCAGGGCTGTTGGGGTTGTCCACCACAGGCTTGTCATCTCATCACATAACCTATCCCAGCACAGATACCTCGGGGGGTTGTATACATTGGGGAGCACACCTGTGGGCCACATCAGTCTCAAGAGAATAGCCCAGCTCCCCAGACGTGCCCTAAGATCAAAGCTAGCCATACCTCCCCCAAGGAGGGCTTCAGAACTTGTAGGATCCAAAGCAAAAGGAAAATTCTAGGCTCTTGTTCACAAACATTAAGAATTTGAAGACGCAGACAGCAGAGCACTAAATCAAGACCAAGGAGGCCTGTAGAGCTTGGGACCCAGCCAAGTCCAGGGCCCGTGTGATTCTGGGGCACTGGGGGACTGCTCAGGTCACCCCACAGCCTCATCAGTGAAGAGGTCGGCAGTCAGGGGCTGTAGGCTGGCACTGGTCCACCACACCAGCTCCATCTCCCACTTCTTCTCCTGCAGCTCTTTGTCTAGCTAATCCACACATCCCAGGAAGACGCCATCAAAGCTCATCTAGGGGTGGGGCAAGAGAAAGCACCAGGAATTAGTACCGAGTCCGCCACCATCAAGCTCCCTTTGGCTTTGGAGAGGCAGGCAGAACACAGGTAGATGGTGGGGCTGAATCAAGTTTCTTTCAAAGCTTTGTGAAGAGCCAGAGCACACCACGTAACACTGGGGAGGGGCGGGACATATGTCAGACTCCATCTGCACCTGCCCAGCAATGTCAAGGCCAAAAGGAAATGACCCATGTGTAACCTGAGGGTGTCTGTGCCAGAATACAACCAATGGAGGTGGGTTTAAAGCACCCTAGGCTTCCACCTGCCACTCAGCTTGGGAAGGAGCCAGGATCCTAGCATGTGGGGCGGGGCCAGAGCAGGGAGAGGAGAAAGGAGAGAGAGCAGAGTCCATAAAAGGGGTTCACTCTTGGAGCCAGACCTGGCAGGGGTCACAACTGGCCAAGGGCTGGTCAGTGGCGAGGGAGGAGTCAGAACCAGTGAAGGGTGCATCCAGAGAGGACCACACAGCACCTGCGCAAAGAGCGAAGCCTGTTCCCGAGAGTGCCCAAAGGGATCGATGTGCCAGGCCACACGGGGGCGCCCGTCGTCGCCGAACGTGTCCTGCAGGAAGCGCAGCCCCAGCGTCATCTGGTCCACGATGGCGCCATAGTGGGTGGCCGCCTCGTCGTTCATCACCCAGCCACCGTTGGCAAACTCCAGGCGCCCTGCATGGGAAGGGGCAGGGTCGGGGTCAAGGGCAGGGACCTGGTCCAGGGAGAGTGGTGCTGGGATGAGAGGAGAAAAGCGTTCACTCCCCGTCTCAGAAGCCAGGGTTACAGGAAGAAGCTGAGCCGGGCTTCCATTTCCCCGTCCTTGGGGCAGGCTCACCCTGGCGCACCAGCTCCCGCACGGCTTGCTGGGTTTCGTTCGTCTGCTGGTGCCACCAACGGGAGAAGAAGGCCATCTCCACGTAGACGAACCTGCGGCTGGGCTCTGCCCGCAGGGCAGAAATGACCGAGTCCAGGATGTTCTTCACGGCCCCGTGGTGGAGCACATTCCGAACTGTGGACACAGGGGTCGGGCACTCAGGGACCAGGAGAGCCAGGGGACCCTCCTCCACACAGGAGCCCAGGCCAGGCATTGCCCCCACCCTGCTGTCCAGGAATCAGAAGGGATTCGAGGCCAACGATGGGTGTCTGGGACCACGCCCACCGAGTTCTTACCCCCATAGTAGTACTGGTCCACTGTTTTGACCCAGCCCACGTCATCATGTGTGTGGGGCAGCAGGTGAACATTCAGCATGTCTGGCTGCACCATGGGGCATGTCTGCACGGGGACCCAACACACACAATACCCCAGGGCAAAGAGGTGGAGTGGGGGGGAGGGGCCGGCTCAGGGGACAGCACGATTGACACTGGGGTGAGGTGGGGAGGCCCCGACCTGAGCCTGACTGTGTGCAGAGGAGGCCAGGCCCTTCCAGGCAGGACACACGCATCGCGGTGCTCACACACACAGCTCCCACCCCGCACAGCCCCCCAGCGCGGCTCTCCCTCTCCCCTTGGGAAAATCATCAGAGCCCTGGCTGAGGTGCGTTCAGCCCCACACACAGCTGACCTGCGGGTGTCCTGGGGCACACAGAGGGCAGTGACCTGGGCAAGGGGGCCACAGGAAGTGGAGGAGTCAGGGTGGACTTCAGGGAGGCAGCGTCCACAGCCCCAGCTCTCACCGAGCGTCCTCCCTCCATACACCGCATCTCCCAGCCCCACACAGCCTTCCAATTACAGTCTAGGACATACAGACGCCAGCAGTTTGGTGACACAGGAGAGACAGAGACCACCACGCTTCATGACAGCCCGCAGGCACCTGGACTTCACTGTGGGGTCAGCAGCCATTCAGAGGTCCACACCCGCGGCCCCTCCTCTTCCTGGCCGGCTTCCGATTCATCCCAGGGATTCGCTCACCTGGTATCCTGCAGCGTGTGTGCTGTGCGCTGCCCTGAACAGCAGAAAGAGCAAAGACAGAGATGGGAATGGTATCCACCAGGCTCGCCCCACGTCCTCGCGGCCCCCAGTGTGGGTTCCCGAAGCCTCTGCAATGGCAGTCATGACTCCAGTGCTCCTGACCCTGCACAGCCACCACCGGGACTGCAGGAGGGTTCCTGGCCCCACCCCCAGAACCAGACCTGGCCAATCAGCACCAGGGGGGTGGGACTCAAGTCTGGCCAGCAGCTACAAGGAGTGTGGCTGTAGTGCTGCATCAGCCTGGCTTCCTTGAACGCAGTGGACCATGGTCCTGGGATGGCCCAGGGGCCCCTTCAGCCTCTTGCCACCCCGTGGGGGCCTGGGAACGACTCTATGCCCTTGAGAGAGGAGGTCTCAGCTCTCCCTGTGGATGCCCGATGTTCCAAGTGGGTATGGCTGGATCCTAGCGGGTCTCATTGACCATCAGGGAGGGACTTCAGAGGGACCGAGCTGGGCTCGGAGCAGGGTCGATGAGGGCATGGGGATCAGGCCACTGGGACAACAAAGTGTCCTGGTGGCTTCCAGGTCCCACCAGTCCAGCCAGGTCCTCATCTCTCTACTAAGAAAACCAAAGCCCAGACTCCTTAGTGGTTGAAAATCGGTATCTCTCTCCCTCCAACCCTCTCTCCTCTTACAAGTAATTTAAAAACATGTTTTAGAGGGGCTTTAGGGTCCTAGGCTGAGCAGAGACTGGGTGACACTGTCCTCCTTGGCTTCCGTGTCTGACTCAGGCCAAACCCTGGCTCCCTCAGTGGTCATGGAAACCTCAGGATGCCCACCCACAACCGGGACCCTCTGAGATGCTGAGCCTGTCACAGGGAGGCCTCAAAGGCACTCATGGTGATGGATCCAGGGGTCAGACCCAATCGTAGGAGATCAAAGGATGACCCAGGGCAGCTCCATGGGTCATCTTGGCTTCCCTAGGCCAGTGCCCGCCTGTGGGACCACAGGCAACTACATTTTCCATAGGTTCATGTACGACCACGTCCAGCGAGCACTCCTGCACACTCAGAAATCTGGACAACTTGGGTTGCACCATCTATGATGGTGAGCTTTATCTTGTTTGTGATCAGATCATCATTACTAACCAAGTCCAGGATGTCCTCTCTCACCTCCATCAGCCACAAAGGGCCTGGCCGAGGGTGTGTTTATGGAGGGGATGTCACTCCCTTTCTACTCTGAACCTCAGCTTAAATCACAGCATCTCCTTGGTGCAGACACCAGAACACGCCAGAAGTGTACATTACGCCAACCTCTGGGCCTCTGCCTCCTGGGAAACCCACAGCTGTCTGAGGCCTCCTCACCGGCACCTGCCATGGGTTCAACCTCCTGCTCCAAGACCTCCCCCGACTCCTCCCCCAAGTCCAGCTCAGGAAGGGTCTGGGTTCCCTCAGCCCAAGTCCAGCACAGGCCCTCCTTTGGTGGCTGCTTAAGACGGCTCTACCAGGGCCTACGAGCAGGGAGAAACAAAGCAAGAGGTGGGAAAAGGGGAGATGGGTGGGGCTGGGTGCTGCAGACACAAGGTCTGGTATGAGCATTGGCTAGGAAGGGACCTCCCTGCAAAAGGCTCGGCTGGGCGGGACAAAGAGCCTTATGGTGCAGGGGATAAAGCTGCTGTTTTCTAGGCTGGTGGCTTGAGTCCTCGATGATCCACTTCCGGTCGTGCTCACTGCTAATGCACCTAGGAGAATAGCACAGGATGGCCCAAGTGCCTGGGCTCCTGCACACCCCATCGCAGACCTGCATGGAATTCCAGGATCCTGGCCATTAAGGTCATTTGGAGAATGAACCAGCAGATACAAGACTTCTCTCTCTTCTTCCTCTTCTCTCTTGTTCTTGCTTGCTGTCACTTTGCCTTTTAAATAAATGAATCTTAAAAAAAAAAACTAAAAAGTAAAAATACCTCAGCTATGTTTGATGACCATTCTAGATTATAGATTCTACTTCCCTCCAAAAGGTGCCACAACCAGGCCAACGGAGACCCGACTCTTGGTGATGCCATTTTAATCATGTTAGTGGGTGGCAGCAGAAGCCCCAGTGGCAAAGAGAAGAGGGAAGAGTTCAGGCTTGGAGGGCGGTGTCCCCGAGGGCCCCGGCATGCTTTTCCATTCAACCATGGCCACAAAAGTGCGGATCTCCATGGGCTGCAGAGTGATGGCAGCCGGGTCAGGACGGTGCACAGGGAGATTCCTGATGGGGCCTGAGGAGGAGCAGTGGACGGCAAGAGTGAGGGGGTGCAGACGTCATCACCCAGTCGCTCCCTCCCCTGGGCCTGTCTACACTCTGCACCAACAAACCCATCCCCAGAGCCTCAAACCTAATCCATACGTGACTTCTTCCCCGGGTGTGCCTTCCTCTGCAATGCCTGGCCCTCGCCCTCACACACTCAAAGCCACCCCAGGGGTGATGGATACCTTTGGAGAATTAGAAACCCATGAAGTCCCTCAAATCTTTGTTCCTGGGACCAAATTCTCTATTGCTAGATGCTCCATGTACTTTGGACCCTGAAGCCCCTAGCCTGGATCTGCCCAGGGTCCTCAGGTTCTACACTGGATCCTGGCCCACTTTACCATGGCTCACACACTGCCCCAGCTGCCAGCCCCAGGCAGGAGCCCACCCCACCCAGGCTAGGTGCCCACCAGAGTTTGGTGTCCATTTGAGCCTGGAGGCGCTGGCCCGGGGCTGGTTGGCCGCCAGCGTGGTCTCCTGCAGGCGGGTGATGGTGAAGGTAGAGAACAGGTCCTGCAAGAACCATGGATGGGCTTGGTCAGTAGGAACAAAACCAGGTATCCCATCTTTATGCCTGTCTGTCTCTCTCTCCTTCACCATCTCTCTGTCTCTCTTCTCTCCTGTTTCTTTCCCACCTCTGCTCTCCTTACCAGCAAATTCAAGGTCACGGGGGAGCTCAAGTTGCGGCCCGAGTCCTCCCTGCTGGCGAACTGGTGCTCCAAGCGCAGCAGCAGTGTCTCTGGGCCCCAGCGGGCCAGGGTGAGCAGGTGCACGGAGGGCGGGAGCTCCCGGCGCAGCCCTGAGAACTGTCAGGAGACACAAGCGGGCTGATCAGAGAGGAGTGTGGCTTGGAGGAGGGTGGGGGTGCTCAGTGGAGAGGCGTGGACAGGGCCCTGCAGGACTGAGCCACTGACACTATGGGGCAGCCATTAGTTGGGGTACGGTCCCAGCTAGGTGGGTCTCAGAAGGGGTAGAACTGATCTGACCATACGTCCAATTAGAGTCAGGGCAGGCGTGAAGATAGGGAGAGGCGGGGCAGCAGGGGAGGGTAAGGCAAGGCAGAGCCTGGGAGAGGAGAATGGTTGAGAAGGTGGGGTTCACCTGAGATGCAGTGATGCCAAGGGGTTAGAGCTGGGGCTCCATGTGAAGGAAGTGGGCAGGAGCTATTCTAGCTGCTGACCTAGCTTTTGGCCTCCCGAGGTCAATTTAAGGTCCAGCAAGGTGGATCACAGCTAAGCCACAGATCACCTGTACCCAGGCCAGCTCCAGGCTCAGGCTCCACTGCAACCCCATCTCACTGCCCACCATGCAGCCCCTCACCTGTGTGCGTTGGGTGGCTCCTGGGTGGTAGGGGGTGCCTGTATCTGGAGCCAACACCACTTGTGGGGCCAGGACCTCCTTCTGTGCCAGTAGCCGGTGCCCCATGGCCGCCTTGCCCACCATGTCCAGCAGCACGAGGTGGCGCCCTCGCACCCACGACCCCGAGCCCTCCTCCAGCAGCGGCTCCCCCAGACCTTGCTTATCATCCAGCAGCAGCCTGCGGTGCACCTGGAGGGAGTGTGGCCAGGAGAGGGTGAGGGGACACCGGGTGTCTTTGTCCTTTGTCTTTAGGGAGTCATTGTGGGAAGTGGTGCGAGGACCCCTGCATGGCTGGAGATCCCCTACGCCCACTCACCATGAGCTCCAGGGAGCCGTCCTGCAGGCTGCTGCCCCCCTGGCAGCGGTCTGTCAACACCGTCAGCTGCTTCTTCCTGTCCTGGAGGGGGCGGTGAGCATGAGGGCAGGTGGGGAGCCAGCCCCAGCCCCAGGCACTTGGGAGATGCCGCCAGTGAGGGGCCCTCCCCATTCTGTACCCGGGGAGGTGCAAGGTGGGGGAGGGTACCGTGATGTAAATTCGAGTGTTGACTGGATAGTAGTTCCCCGCCACAGGCTCTGTCTGGTTCAAGTTCCAGGTGTGCCGGTAATTCCTCCTGGGGGACAGAAGGTCATCTGGTCAGGCTGGGACACTGGCTCCCCCACTCTGCTCTCTCCCTTCTTCCTGTCCCTCCCACATTCACACCATCAGCCAGCGCCCCCACCCCTGAACCCACACACATCACCACTGCCCCGCAGGCACCCTGCGTCCCCCTCACCTCCTCTTTAGGATCTCCCGGCCATTGCTGTCCGTGTAGAAGTAGCCCTTGGTGTCCAGCGGTGTGTCGAAGCGACTGATCACTTCCTTCCCCAAACTGTCACTGTACCCAACAGGACAGCACCTCGTGAGCCTCATCTAAACTCACTCTGGGGGAGGTGTCTGGAGCAGAAGTTAAGACACCAAAGGATTGGCCAGTGCCCCATCAGAGTGAATCCCTATGCAAGGCCATAAAGCAAATCTCAGCAAATTCGAAGAAATCGAAATCATACCATGCATCTTCTCTGACCACAACAGAATGAAGCTGGAAATCAACAACTCAAGAATCTCTAGAGCACATGCAGACATACGGAGATTGAACAACATGTTCCTAAGTGAATAATGACTCATAGAAGAAACTGAAAGAGAAATAACAAAATTTCTGGAAACAAATGAAGATGACAATACGAACTTATGGGACACTGCAAAAGCAGTGTTAAGAAGGAAGTTTATAGCAATTGGTGCCTACATGCAGAAATTGGAAACATACCAAATAAATGAGCAATAAATGTATCTCAAATACTTAAAAAGAATAAGAAACCAAACTCCAAATTAGGAGGAAAGAAATAATTAAAATTAGAGAATAAACAAAATTGAAACAAAAAGTACAAAAGATCAGTGAAATACACATCTGGTCTTTGAAAAAAATGAACAAAGTTGATACATCATTGGCACAATTAACCAAAATAAGAGGGAGAAGACCCAAATTAACAAGATAAGTGATGAAAAAGGTAATGTAACAACACATATCACGTAAATGAAACAATCACCAAGAATTAACAACAAAGAGCTGTATGCCAACAAATTGGAAAATCTAGAACAAATGGATACATTCCTGGACACATACAATCCACTCATACCAACTCATGAAGACATAAAAACCTAAACAGACCAATAACCAAGATGTAAATTGAATCGGTAATAAAGACCGTCCCACAAAGAAAAGCCCAAGACTGGATGGCTTCACTGCTGAATTCTACCAGACTTATAAAAAAGAACTAACTCTGGAACCAGCACTGTCATTTAGCAGGTAAAGCTGCCACCTGCAGTGCCAGCATCCCATATGGGGTCTGGTTCAAGTCCCAGCTGCTCCATTTCCTATCCAGCTCTCTGCTATGGCCTGGAGAAGCAGTAGAAGATGGCCCAAGTCCTTGGGCCCCTGCACCCCATGGGAGACCTGGAGGAGGCTCTTGGCTCCTGGCTTTGGATCGGTGCAACTCCAGCCATTGCTGCCATCTGGGGAGTGAACTAGTGGATGGAAGACCTCTCTCTCTCTCTCTCTCTCTCTCTCTCTCTCCTTCCCTCCCTCCCTCCCTCCCTCCCTCCCTCCCTCCACCAATCTGTAACTCTACCTTTCAAATAAATAAATAAATCTTTAAAAAAAAAAAAAAAGAACTAATTCCAATTCTTCTCGAGCTACTCAAAACAATGGGAAGGGAGGGAATCCTCCCAAACTCCTTCTATGAAGCCTGCATCACCCTAATTCTTTTTTTTTTAAAGATTTATTTATTTATTTGAAAGTCAGAGTTACACAGAGAGAGGAGAGACAGAGAGAGAGAGAGGTCTTTCATCTGCTGGTTCACTCCCCAATTTGCTGCAATGGCTGGAGCTGTGCCAATTTGAAGCCAGGATCCAGGAGCTTCTTCCAGGTCTCCCAGGTGGGTGCAGGGCCCAAGGACTTGGGCCATCTTATACTGCTTTCCTAGGCCATAGCAGAGAGCTGGGTTGGAAGTGGAGCAACTGGGATTCAAACTGGTACCCATATGGGATGCCAGCGCTTCAGGCCAGGACATTAATTACTGCGCCACAGCGCTGGCCCCCACCCTAATTCTTAAACCAGAAAAAGATACAACTGAGAAAGAAAACTATAGACCAATGTTCCTGATGGACATAGATACAAAAATCCTCCACAAAATAGTAGCTAACTGAATCCAACAACACATCAGAAAGATCATTTGCTCAGACCAAGTAAGATTTATCCCTGGTATGCAGGGATGGTTCAACAGTCATATATCAAAGTGATACATCACATTAACAAACTGGAAAATAAAAATCATATGATTATCTCAACAGACGCAGAGAAAGCACTTAATAAAATACAATATCCTTTCCTGATGAAAACCTTAAGTAAATTGGGTATAGAAGGAACATTCCTGAGCACAATCAAGGCAATTTATGACAAACACACAGCCAGCGTCCTATTGAATGATGAAAAGTTAGAAGCATTCCCACTGAGATCTGGAACCAGACAAGGATGCCCACTCTCACCTTTGCTATTTAATATAGTCCTGGAAGTTTTAGCCAGAGCCACTAGGCAAGAAAAAAGAAATCAAAGGGATACAAATTGGGAAGGAACAAGTCAAACTATCGTTATTTGCAGATGACATGATTCTATATATATAGGGCATCCAAAAGATTCCATTGAGAGACTATTGGAACTCATAAAAGAGTTTGGTAATGCGGCAGGATATAAAATCAATACAAAAAATCAATAGCCATTGTATACACAGGCAAAGTCATGGCTGAGAAAGAACTTCTAAGATCAACATGATTCACAATATCTACAAAAAGAATTAAATACTTTGGAATAAATTTAACCAAGGATGTCAAAGATCTCTATGATGAAATGTACAAAACATTAAAGAAAGAAGTAGAATAAGAAGCCAAAAAGGGAAAAATCTTCCATGTTCATGGATTAGAATAATCAATATCAACAAAATGTCCATACAACCAAAAGAAATTTATAGATTCATTGCAATCCCAATCAAAAAATCGACATTCTTCTCAGATCTAGAAAAAATGATGTTGAAATGCATATGGAAACATAAGAAATACTAAATAGCTAAAGCAGTCTTCTACAGCAAACACAAATCCCAATACCAGATTTTAAGTCACACTACAGTGCAGTTATAATCAAAACAGCCTGGTACCAGCACAAAAACAGACATGTAGGCCAATGGAACAGAATAGAAACTCCAGAAGCCAAACCATGCATCTACAACCAACTCCTCTTTCACAAAGGAGCTAAAATCAATAGCTGGAGCAAGGACAGCCTCTTTAACAAATGGTACTGGGAAAACTGGATCTCCACTTACAGAAGTGTGAATCAAGACCCCTGTCTTACACCTTACACATTCATCCATTAAGAATGGATCAAAAACCTAAATCTACTACCTGATGTCATCAAATTACTACAGAACGTTGGGGAAACTCTGCAAGTTGTTACCATAGGCAAAAACTACTTGGAAAAGACCTCAGGAGCACAAGCAACCAAAGCCAACATTGACAAGTGGGATTACATCAAGCTAAGAAGCTTGTGCATTGCAAAGGAAACACTCAGCAAAGTGAAGAGGCAACCAGATGGGCTCCTGCTCCTTGCTCATGCAGACTCAGGCAGGCAGTAAGGACAGCTCTGTCACCCACTCAAGAGACCCAGGTTGAATTCTCAGCTTCTGGCTTTCATCTGTCCTGGCTCCAGCTCTTTCTGGCATTTGGAGTATCAACTAGTGGATAACAGAAATCTGTCTACCCATTGCTGTCTCTCTGCGTAAACCCTTGGAGGGGAGATCTCTATCTCTCTATTTCCATTTTTCTCCCTTTTGAATGAATAAATAAAGATTTCAAAGATTCAGGTTATTTTTGTTTCAAAGGCAGAATGACACAGAGAGAGGGAAAGACAGCAACAAAGAATTCTAACAGCTGATGGTTCATCCCCTTAATGGGCACAATGTCCAGAGCTAAGCAAGGGCGAAGCCAAGAGCCTGGAACTCCATTCAGGTTTCCATGGAAGGGAAAGGAAGTCAAATACTTTGGCCATAATTTGCTGCTTTCCCAAGGACACAAGCAGGGAGCTGCATAGGAAGCAGAACAGTCAAGGACTCCACAGGCCCATGGACATGGGATGTTGGCATCACCAGCTGCCACTCCACTCACTCTGCCACGAAGCCAGTCTCTTCTGTTTTAAAAATTTCAAAAAGAGGCCGGTGCCGTGGCTCACTAGGCTAATCCTCCGCCTGCAGCGCCAGCACCCCAGGTTCTAGTCCCGGTTGGGGCGCCAGTTCTGTCCCGGTTGCTCCTCTTCCAGTCCAGCTCTCTGCTGTGGCCCAGGGAGGCAGTGGAGGATGGCCCAAGTCCTTGGGCCCTACACCCTCATGGGAGACCAGGAGGAAGCATCTGGTTCCTGGCTTCGGATCGGCACAGTGCGCTGGCCATAGCAGCCATTTTGGGGGTGAACCAACGGAAGGAAGACCTTTCTCTCTGTCTCTCTCTCTCTTACTGTCTAACTCTGCCTGTCAAACATTTTTCAAAAAGAAAACTCACTCTACTTTCACCCACAGCCCAAGTATCAGTGCTCGTACTCACTGCAGAGGTATCGGCCCCACCGTCCACTCCAGCTCCAGGTGGCGCTGTCCGCGGTACAGGCGAACCACCTGGGAACACCAGGCTGAGAAGTTCTGGTGCACCTCCTGCACCAAGGGCGTCTGAGGACACACAGGGCAGAGGGCAGGGGTCAGCCCAGCCTTGGGCAGAAGGGAGGTGTGCAAATGCCCCCTGCTGTGAACCCTCCAGAAGCCTCCATCAGTGTCCAGCCCAAAACTGCACAGGAATCCCAGCCATTACCAGGACCTGCCTGGATGTGACGCCCCCACTTCCCACTCAGTCTCTGCCACAGAATTCCAGAGGGGGACACATGCACTCATGGTCCACCATTTCTCCACCTCCCCTGCTTACAGCAGAGGCCAAGCGTGGCATGGGGCGACCTGGAAAAGACTTTGCTGTCCTATCTTCTCAGAGGCTTTCAGGAGCTGTGTGACCAAAGCCTGCCCCCATGGAAAATGGCCTTGGTGCTGTGAACAGCGCTGCCTGCCCTCTCCCTTTCGACTGACTCAAATGTAGATGTGATGGCTGGGGGTGGAGATCCATTTTGGATCTCCAGGAAGCTGCATGTTGTGAAAGGTGAGACAGAGCAGGCCTGGGTGACTGTGGATCCATCCTGCTGGCCCCAGATGGAGCGGCCTGGCTTCCTGTTTCAAAGAAAGGGTCATCTGGCCAGTACCGCAGCTCACTAGGCTAATCCTCCGCCTTGCGGCGCCGGCACACTGGGTTCTAGTCCCGGTCGGGGCGCCGGATTCTGTCCTGGTTGCCCCTCTTCCAGGCCAGCTCTCTGCTGTGGCCAGGGAGTGCAGTGGAGGATGGCCCAAGTACTTGGGCCCTGCACCCCATGGGAGACCAGGAGAAGTACCTGGCTCCTGCCATCGGATCAGCGTGGTGCGCCGGCCGCAGCACGCCAGCCATGGCAGCCATTGGAGGGTGAACCAACCCAAGGAAGACCTTTCCCTCTGTCTCTCTCTCTCACTGTCCACTCTGCCTGTCAAAAAAAAAAGGGTCATCCATCTTGTTTGAGACACAATGTATTTGGACCATCAGGCATAATAGGCAAAACTGTATCCTAATCTCATGAACTGGCACAATGACATTCACGTCAAGAGGAATAATGTCATCTACCAGGCTCCTGCGCCTGCACACATGTGAGTCTTCCCATTGTCTGTCCTTCTCCCAACCTAAGAGGAAACATCAATGCAAGGCCTGGGAAAAATGCCCTTCCCAGCAGGTGCCTACACTGAATGCCACTCACTCAGGCATCTACCCAAGTCTCAATTCTTAAATCTCCACTCCCAGGATCACTTCCGCTTTCCACAGACCTTGCTGACTTCTGCAAGTACCTGTACTGGGCTCTCTCCATCCACCGTCCAAGTGGGAAGACCCCAGCCCTAAATTCCAGTGCCAAGAGTAGTCCTGACACCCACAGCAGGTGTGAATGCCTTCATGGGTGCTTCCTCAGAAGACACAGCAGCCATGAATGTCTGCTCTTGGGAGGATTCCCAAGCCCACCCCCTCTTAGGTCTCAACCCTCTTGTCTGAGGGAGTGGAAGCCCTCTCCCCTCTCCACCTCACACCCGGCACACCCCCCTGCCATACCCCACATTCCCACCCTCCACCCCCATTGCCCAGTCATCCTCATTCCTGGCCCCAGACCTTCAGCAGGTGGATCTTAGCCCAGCTGCTCACTGGGGATGGTTCCGGTTGGCTGGGTCTAAAGATGTAGGCACCAGAGACACCAAAGACATCAATGTTTTTCAAGTCCCATGTGCCAGCACTATACCTATAGTCAGGGCAGGTGAGAGTCAAGTAAGGGCTTCCAGCTCTATGTACCCCCTCCCTGGCCGATGATTCCCCTCTCACCAGAAAAATGACTGGCTCACAGGGAGCACGAGTTTCTGCTCCATGTCTTCAATCTGCATCAAGAAACCTGTCTTGGTGCTGAACGTAGCCCGGATGTACTGGACAGAGAAAGGTGGACACACATGAGTGACAGCAGCCTTAGCCAATGGCAGCTCCGTTCCTCCTGGAGCTCAGGACCTGCAGTCTCGCCTCCTCCTTTCGCCCTCTCACTCCTCACACTTGATCTCATTAGAGAATCCTAACAGCTCCACCTTTGTCACTCCACAGCCCTCCAGGACCGATGCAGTTGGACCCTGACAGGTCTTCGCTTTTATGTTCATGCCTCACATTCTGTCCCCCACAACTGCCTGGGGGCACCTGGGACATCCCAACTCCCATCATCGCTCTCAGAAGACACAGCCTGGGAATCTGATACAGCCACCACGAAGCCAGCACCCACAGGCGCTCAAGGGGCCCCACGAATGTTTCATTTCTTTTAACACCTAAAGAAAACTCAGAGGCCATCACTACAGCGTAGCAACCTAAATCACTGCTTCAGAGGTGGACACCTGTTTTCAGAGCTACAGTTCGACTCCAAGCCACTCTGCTTCTAATCCCACTTCTTGATAACACATCTGGGAAGGCAGCCCTAAATGGCTCAAGGGGCTGGGCTGCTGTTGCCCAACAAAGACCTGGATGAAGTCCCTGGTTCCTGTCAGCCGGGGCAAATGTGGCCATTTAGAGAGTGAACCAGCACATGGAGGTTCTCCCTCTCCCTCCCTCTCTCTCTCTCTCTTTCTCTCTCTCTCCCCACCCCCTTTCATTCTCTGTGACTCTGCCTCTCAAATACCTGACCTTTTTTTAAGATTTATTTATTTATTTATTTGAGAGGCAGAGTTGCAGACAGTGAGAGGCAGAGAGAGAGAGAGAGAGGAGACTTCTACCTGCTGGTTCACTCCCCAGATGGCAGTAATGACCAGAGCTGTGACAATCTGAAGCCAGGAACTTCATCTGGGTCTCCCACATGGTGCAGGAACCCAAGCACTTGGGTCATCTTCTGCTTTCCCCACCACAGCAGAGAGCTGGATCAGAAGTAAAGCAGTTGGGACTAGAACCAGCGCCCATATTGGATGTTGGCACTACAGGCAGAAGATTAACATACTGCACCACAGTACCAGCCCCCACAAACACAAGAACTTCAATTTATTCTTCAAATTCAACACATACACAAAATTGGATTCCTCCACCTGCATTAGGCTGTCACATGTCTCTTCATGTTACCTACAATCACACTGGGACCTCGCAACAGCCCCGAGAAAGACACTGAGGTTCACATGAAGGAGACACACACAAGGTCACACTATCAGGGCAGTGAGGTGGTGGTAGACCACAAACATAGGAACTGCCAGCCCAGAGCAAACAGCTCACCAAACACAAGGGAAAAGGATATAAAAGGAGCCTCACCTCGTTTTGGATAACCAAGACACCAGTCCTGGACTTCTGGGGGATGCGTTTGGGGCTGTGGGCCTTGGGATTCTGGAGAGAGACTCGGGCTACGGAGTAGATGCTGAAGCCTAGGGCCGGCACCGAGGCGGAGAACAGCAGCTCTGGGCTGGGCTTCTGTCCCTCTGGTTGGGGAAGCAGCAGCACCTCGGGGAAGGGAGGGGGGAAGCTGAGCCAAGAGGCTGTGGGTGCGCACAGAAACCATCACACTCAGTACAGCAGGCAGCAAACTCGAGGAGGGGAGGGAGTCCTGGGAGGGAGGAGAGAGACCGGGGAGGCAATGGAGGGAGGGAGGACTGCAGGGGAGGAGGAGGCTCGAGGGGGGAGGCCGTCTGGGAGGCAGGGGTTCTCCAGAAACACAGAGGAAATGTCCTGGGGGATTAAAGGGGACCACTCGGGTGGGAGAGATGCTCGGAGGGGGGCTGATGCTAAGGGCCAGAGCGGGCAGAGATCTGCAGGGACAGGAGGGGACCACGAGGGGGAGGGGCGTGCCCATGGGTGTCCTCGGGTGACAGTCCCTGAAGGGGCTCACATCGCTGGACACAGCGTGGCCACTGGGGTCCTTCACGAGGAAAGCGCCTTCACTGACCGGCAGCCGCACCATGCGGTCCACCTTCCGGGCCAGGGGGTTGTAAATGGCGACCTGGAACTGGGGGAGGGGGACAGGCAGGGCGGGGGTCACAGCACGCATTCTCCAAACCTTGGGTGGTGACATCCCTGGTGACCCTGGTGTGGTCACCAACCTCCTCCTTGGTCTCTGTCCTGCCCTGGCGTAGCAGATCCTCAGGATATCTCACCCCAGAAGGGTGGAACGTACAAATTACCTAACCCGCCCTGCAAGAGCCATCAGCTGCAGCACTGGCTCCTCTTCTGTGCGCCCCACCACCTCTCGGGGTACCTCCCCCTGGGGCCCGCCCGCGGCACCTGCCTCCCGCCCCGCCCCCACCCGGCTCACGCGCGCTGACGTCTGGCTGAGCGGGCAGACGCTGATGTTGAGCTCCGGGCAGATGGAGAAAGCCTCCTGGGAGCCGCTGAGCCGCGCCAGGGCGTTGCTCAGGAGAACCTGGGGGGCAGCGCCACGGGGCGGCTTCGCTCTAAACGCCCACCCTGGTTCAATCCCCCTCATCCCGGCCACGCCCCTGCCAGACTCAACCAGGCCCCAATACCCAGGCCCTGCTCCTTCCCTTCTTCGCCCTGCCCTCCTCAGGAGCCCTTAGAGGGTCCACTTCACCACCCTCCCTATTCCATCGCCGCCCCTTTCTCTCAACACCCTTGCGCCCCCAGGCCCTGACCCTGACCCTACTCTCCCAGGCCCAGAGGCCACTCGCGTCTGCTTTGCGCACACTGTGTGACCCCGCCTCTTCCAGTATCCACCTGCTATCTCCCAGCCTAGGCTCACCCTTCCTGTCTCCGCCCCTTCCTGTCCCACATCCGTGCACCTGCCCCGCTCACCTCGCAGCGCCCCCAGCCGGCAGCCAGCCGGCGGGCGAAGTCGTCAGCCACGAGCTGGCGGGAGGTGCCCGTGATGGCGTCGTGGTGCTGCAGCACAGCCATGGCCTCCTCTGCGGGCACACGAGGGGCCAGGCAGGGTCTCCATAAAACTCACGGCCAGCCCCGGAAAGAAGGAAAAGTTCCGTGCGAGAGGGCATCTTAGAGGCGCTAAGAAGGGACCTGGGGCAGCGCAGGGCTGGGTCCCACCTGCAGCCCCTCTCCCGTCCCCACCCCCGCGCCGGCCGACCCCTACCTAGGGGAGCGCTGTCTCCCGACCCATAGGGGCCCACGTTGGCCGCCGGGCCCGCCAGCGCCTCCAGCTGCTTGCACACCTGGGGAGCAGTGCACAAGTTCAGGCTCCTGGTCTAAGGGGCCTCCTGGCTGCCCCCTCCCGCCGGCGCCGCCCACCTGCAGGAAGTTGTAGCTGACGCGCTCATAGCGCTTGAGGGCCGGCCGGCTGGAGAAGTAGCCGGTCCAGAACTGGTGGGGGCCATCGGCGTACGGGAAGAAGTCGTCCTCCTTCAGCGACCTGCGCGGGCGGAGAGGGCGTGCTCACAAGGCGTGGGGCACGCCAACCCCCAGCCCCCCGGGGCCCCCAAATACCAGCTGAGGTTGGCCTTGTTCAGCTCCCAGAGGTAACAGGCGGGGGTGGAGTAGAGCACGTGGACGCAGCTCCCATTTGCCTGCTGCTGGGGGGAGGGGAGTGGGTGAGCCCTCGGGGACAGCGCTGTGTCCCCGGGACCCACAGCTGCGCACATCAGACCTCCCACCCGGCGCCCAGAGGCGCGCATCCCGTCGGCTCCCGTGCTGAGTCCACCTTCTGAGTGCACACCCGTGCTCACGTGGGAAAAAGAATATTGACCAAAAACATTACCATCCTTGGAAATATTCAAGGTTAATGCAGAAATACATCTGGAGTTTGCCTAAAACCACTTCATGAGTCCAATTACATCATGAACAACATTCGTGGGGAAATCAGTGTGACTTTATAGGGTAGGAGTCACTATTTTCAGACCTGTCAGATGGTTGCCAAGACACAGTTTCTTTTTTTTTTTTTTTTTTTTTTTTTTTTTTTTTTTGACAGGCAGAGTGGACAGTCAGAGAGAGAGAGACAGAGAGAAAGGTCTTCCTTTGCCGTTGGTTCACCCTCCAATGGCCAACCAAGACACAGTTTCTAAATGAATGGACACTCACCTTCAACTCACACTCAGATAAAGGTGACATGCGTGAGCAGAAGGATGTGTGTCCTGCTGTGCTGTGTCGCAGTGCACACAGTAGGTACTCAATGAACATTTCCATGAATGAGGGGAGGTGCACGTATGGACAAATGTGTCTACACACATATATTCATACATACATACATTTCCCCAGGATCCACAGGGGAGTGGTTCCATGACCCCAAGCAGATAACCAGATCCACAGATCACAAGTCCCTTGCATAGTATTTGCACGGCACCCGTGAACATCCTCCCAATACTTTAAATCATCTTGAATGAAAGTCGCTGCACAGCGTGGCTCAGGGTGAAATTTCAGGAAAAATATCTAGGGCGGGCACCTGGTAGGACAGTTAGGATGCACCTGTGGATCCCCACGTCCCACACTAGAACACCTGCTGGGTTCAAACTCCAGCTCGTCCCGATCCAGCTTTCAGCTCATGAACACCCAGGAAGATAGCAGGTGCTCACTCGATTGTGTGGATCCCTAGGAGACCTGGAGTGAGTTCCCCTCTCCTGGCTTTGGTCTTGCCAAAAGGACATCACAGGCATTTAGTGAGTAGACCAACGGATGGAAGATCTCACTGTGTGTGCCTGTCTTTCTGCTAAAAATGAAAGTAAAGAAAGGAAAATTTTATAAATATAATAGGGAGGGAACTGGCATTTTGGTGCAGGTGAAGTCAATACTTGGGACAGGAGCATCCCACACTGGAGGGCTGGGATCACGTCCCAGCTACTCCGTGTTTCTAATTCTGTTCGCTGCTGATGCATCCAGCACACAACATGTGATGGCCCAAGTCCTTGATGGCCCAAGTCCAGAGTCCCCCATCTGAGAGACCAGGATGGACGTCCTGGCTCCTGCTGTTGGCCTGTGCAGTCCTAGGTGCTCCAGGCATATGGGACTATGAACCAGCAGATGGAAAATCTATCCTTCCTCATTCTCCCTCCCTCCTTCCCTCCCTCTCTCTCTCTCTCTCTCTCTCTCTCTCACACACACACACACACACACACACATTCCTCCCTCCATCCCTTCCTTTCAAGTAAAAATTAAAATAAATAAATTACATTTTAAAAATAAAATAAGGACTTGGTATAGTTGTGTAGCAGGTTAAGCCACTACTTTGACATTTGCATCCCATAATAAAGGCCCTGGTTAAAATCGTGGCCACTCCCATCTTCTGCCTGCTGCCTGCTAATGCTTCTAGAAACCAACAGATGGTATTCCAAGTGCTTGGGTTCCTGCCATTCATGTGAGGGACCTAGCTTCAGTTCACAATTTGCAGTCTCAGCCTGGCCTAGCCTTGGCCACTGTAGATATTTGAGGGTGAACCAGCAGTTGGAAGATCTTTGTTATCTGTCTGTCTTGCTGCCTTTCAAATAAAAATGACAATAAATATATTAAAATCTAAAACTAAAACTAGAAGAGGGCCAAGAATACAAAAGAGATGTGATTATAGATGCAGTGGCAGAAGGGCACTACATGGCTGATACTGATGAAGGAGGAAGGGGCCAGGATCCAAGGAATGCAGGCAGCGTTTGGAAGCTGGAAAAGGCAAAGACACAGGTTCTCTCCCAAAGAATTCAGAAGGTGCCCAGCCCTGCCCACACCTCTGGCCAGCCCAGTGTGATCTGTTCTCGACTACTGACCTACAGAACTGGGGGATCACAGATTTCTGATGTTTTGAGCTGCTCAGTTTGTGGTCATTTGTCACAGAAGCAAGAGAATACTAAGACGGCACCTGTAGCTGTGCCCATGACCCAAGTGGCAGACATACAAGTACACGCTGGGACAGGAGCACTGCAGGGTGGGGATACTGACCTCTGCGTTGACCAGCCGGATGAGCTTGTCAAGGTTACTGAACCACATGTTGGCGTTCTCATAATGGAAGTCATCACCCATGGTCATCACAGTATGGTTGGTGCGGTAGGATTGGCGCTGCAGGGCAAAGGCAGTTCTCAGTCCATGCTGTCTCCGGTCACCCCTGTGTCTAGAATTATTTTGGTCTATACAAGTGTGCCCCAAAAATCCATGGAAAATTGAATTAAAAATAAATTGAGGGGCTGGTGCTCTGGTGTAGCAGGTAAAGCCGCTGCCTACAGTGCCAGCATCACATATGGGTGCCAGTTCAAGTCCCAGCTGCCCCACTTCCCATTCAGCTCTCTGCTAAGCCCTGGGAAAACAGTAGAAGATGGCCCATAGTCCCTGGGTTCCTGCACCTGTGTGTGAAGACCCAAAGGCTTAAGCTCCTGGCTCCTGGCTTCAGAACGGTGCAGCTCCAGCTGTTGCGGCCATCTGGGGAGTGAACCAGTAGATGGAAGACCCCTCTCTCTCTCTCTCTGCCTCTCCTTCTCTCTCTGTGTAACTCTGACTTTCAAGTAAATAAATAAATCTTTTAAAAAAGATAAATTGATTTTGGTGCAAAACAATATTGAAACCCATGCAAAAATTTTTTGTAACACACAGTTTGATGACCTTTCCAAAGACTCCACCTATGTGATCAAGGATATCAGTGTAGCGGTCACAGGGGAGAGTCCACGTACTCAGCGTTTCTTGGTTACCTGCCGAGAGACGCTGCTGGGGAAACTGAACTTATACTGAGGACTACACAGATCCTTTGTATGGTCCTTAGGACAGAGCAGGCGAATATTATACCCGTACTCGGGCACTAGTCTCCATTGAGCAGAGGAGCTCAGCTGAGCAGAATGAATTTCCCCTACAATTAAAGAGAGAGAGAGAGAGAGAGAGAGAGAGAGAGAGATATTGATTGATTGATTTACCATGCCAAACTTGGGTGTGTCACCTTAGGCTCTCCCTTAACCCTGGAGAACTGAACAGAGCTCTCTGGCCACACCCACTACAAGTCTCTAGATATTCACTGAAAGGGGACATTGCATTTATCTAGAGCCATACTACAAAGATAAAAGCCTTCACAGAAAAAAAAAAAAGAGTCAATGAGTGTCTCCACATATGCTGAATAATAAACACACCAATTCAAGAAACAAGAATAAGGAAGACAAAGTGATGCCCCCAAAATAACATGACACTTCAATACTAGATTGTGAAGATGATGGAAGAAATGCAAGAAATGGAATTCAAAAAAATCATCATAAGGGAGGTGTGGGGGTGCAGATAGCAGTGGCTTTCCTTTCGTTCCCTATTTGGTTCTGAGTTTTCACCCTCTACATTTTCAAAGAAATGCTGCATTTTTGATCATCCTCTTGGACACATTGAGCGTCCTCCAATTTTTCTACCTGCCTTGTCATGAGTGGTTTGCAATTCCTAAGATTAAAAATGCAGCGAAGACTTAAAGTACAAGAAATTTTGCAATTAGGATGAGGCTGCAATGCTAGTGACAGATTTAAATGTCAACACCTTCGAAGGAAGTCAGAAATGGATTTTCCTCTCTCAGTTTGAGTCTGGAAAACCATCCATTACAAGGTACTGACCAGAACCAGATGAGACCACAACTCAGAGCACTGATAGTGTTTCTTTTCTGGCTTAAATGGATTTCCTCTGGGTAATTTTTGAAATGATCTGTAGGGCCGGCACCGTGGCTCAATAGGCTAATTCTCCGCCTTGCGGCGCCGGCACACCAGGTTCTAGTCCCGGTCGGGGCGCCGGATTCTGTCCCGGTTGCCCCTCTTCCAGGCCAGCTCTCTGCTGTGGCCAGGGAGTGCAGTGGAGGATGGCCCAAGTACTTGGGCCCTGCACCCCATGGGAGACCAGGAGAAGCACCTGGCTCCTGCTTTCGGATCAGCGTGGTGCGCTGGCCACAGTGCCCCGGCTGCGGCGGCCATTGGAGGGTGAACCAACGGCAAAGGAAGACCTTTCTCTCTGTCTCTCTCTCTCTCACTGTCCACTCTGCCTGTCAAAAAATAAAAAAAAAAAATTAAAAAAAGAAGTGATCTGTAGGCTGCTGGTATACAAATGATGTAGTGCAAGTGATACTATTTTAGCTTGTTTATCAATGTGTCATAGCGTCTCTCTCTGCTTGGTGCATTGCATTGTAAATCTGACACTCACAGGCAAAGTCCCCAGGATCCACTTCACTGCCTTGAGTCTCAGCAATGTTATTATGAAAAATATATTCATTTGTCTATATGGAAAGGATTTAAAGGTTGCTGCATTCATTTTTTTAAACCACAGTCTGGGTACTTAATCATATGGACATTGTTCAGCAAGAAAATGATCTCTTCCTCTGTACCCCATTAGCAACATTCTTTCAGTCTGAAGAAATATAAATATTAGAGTATATTAATGAAAATGACACCCAATGCTGATATATTAGAGCTCAGAAGTGTGATTAAGTACACTGTTCATTAACTCTTTTTGAAAAAAAATTCATCATAAGATTACATAGAAGTGGGGCCAGCACTGTGGCTTACTTGGTTAATCCTCCACCTGCAGCGCCAGCATCCCATAGGGGTGCCAGATTCTAGTCCTGGTTGCTCCTCTTCCAGTCCAGCTCTCTGCTGTGGTCCAGGAAGGCAGACCAGGAGGAGGCACCTGGCTCCTGGCTTCGGATCGGTGTGCCGTAGCAGCCATTTTGGGGGTGAACCAAAGGAAGATCTTTCTCTCTGTCTCTCTCTCACTGTCTAACTCTGCCTGTCTAATAAAAAAAAAAAAGATTACATAGAAGTAATCAGAAGCAAATGCATGAATTACTGAAATCCATACATGACTTGAAAGAAAATTTCTCCCATGAAATTGAGATCTTAAAGAGGAATCAAAATGAAATGAAGAATTCACTAGAACAGATAAAAATGCAGTGGAGAGCCTTAACAACAGAATTGATGAAGCAGAAGAAAGAATATCAGAACACAAAGGACAAGAAATTATACAGTCAAACTAAAGACAAGAAAAGGAAATTAGGAAACTAAAAAACACTGTTGGGAATCTGCAGGATACTATAAAAAGACCCAATATACTGGTGCTAGGAGTTCCTGAGGGCATGGAAAGAGAGAAATGATTAGAAAGCCTCTTTAGTGAAATAATAACAGAAAATTTCCCAAGTTTGGAGAAATAAAGGGACATCCAAATATAGGAAGCACATAGAACTCCTAATAGACATGACCAGAAAAGATCCTCACCATGACACATTGCAATCGTGCTCACCACAGTAAAACATAAAGAGAAGATTCTAAAATGTGCTTAAGAGAAATGCCAGATTACTTTCAGAGAATCTCCAAGTAGACTCACAGTGGACTTACCAGAAACCCTACAGGCTAGGAGAGAATGGCAAGATATAGCCTAAGTATTAAGAGAAAAAAAAAAAACTGTCATCTCAGAATACTATACCCTGCAAAGCTCTCATTTATGAATGAAAGTGAAATAAAGACCTTCCACAACGAACAGAAATTGAAAGAATTTGTCAGGACCCATCCAGCCCTACAAGAGATGCTTAAGGATGTGTTGCACATAGAAACACAGATACATGATAATCACTATGAAAGAAGGTAAAGGAAGAAAATCTCTCAGTAAAAGTTCAAAGGAAATCCAAAGACAAAAATAGGAATAGTTTTGTGAAAATTGAAGGGCAAATTCATTACTTATCAATAGTCACCTTGAATTTAAATACCCTCACCTCTCCAGTTAAAAGAAACAGACTTGCTGGATGGATTACAAAACAAAACCCATCTATTTTCTGCCTAGAAGAAACACAATTCACCAACAAAGATGCAACAGGCTGAAAGTGAAAGGATAGAAAAAGATATTCCATGCCAACAGAAACCAAAAAATAGCTGGTGTAGCCATCCTAATATCAGACAAAATAGATTTTAACGCAGTTATAAGACATGAAGAAGGGCATTATTTAAGGGATCAATTTAACAGGTTGATGTAACTATTATAAACGTATGTGCGGGCGCGGCGCCAGCTCCCGCCAGCTGGCCGGCCGGGTCGCCTCCCGCCGCAAGACCGGTGCGCCGCGCTCGGGGGCCATGCAGCGCCTGGCTGTGGACCTGCGGGTGATCTCCCGGGAGCTCTCCCTCTACCTGGAGCACCAAGTCCGCGTGCCGTTCTTCGGTTCCGGGGTGGGCTTATCCCTGATCCTGGGCTTCAGCGTCGCTTATGCCTGCTACTACCTGAGCAGCATTGCCAAGAAACCCCAGTTGGTGACTGGGGGCGGGAGTTTCGGCTGCTTCCTGCAGGACCACTGTCCCGTGGTGACCGAAACATATTACCCAACAGTCTGGTGCTGGGAGAGCAGAGGACAGACCCTGCTGAGACCTTTCATCACGTCCAATCCCCCGGTGCAGTACAGGAACGAACTTACTAAAACTGCAGTTGCAGGGCAGATTTCGCTGGACTGGTTTGATAACGAAAACAGTGCATGTTATTTGGATGCCAGCACCAGACCCACTATTTTACTGTTGCCTGGCCTCACCGGAACAAACAAGGAATCCTATATCCTTCACATGATCCGTCTCAGTGAGGAGTTGGGATACAGATGTGTGGTTTTTAACAACAGAGGAGTGGCAGGAGAGAGTCTCTTGATGCCACAGACTTACTGTTGTGCAAACACGGAAGACTTGGAGACGGTTATCCACCATGTGCACAGCCTGTACCCTTCTGCGCCTTTCCTGGCAGCAGGAGTTTCCATGGGAGGAATGCTGCTTCTAAATTACCTGGGCAAAATTGGGACCAAAACTCCTTTGATGGCAGCTGCAACTTTCTCAGTTGGTTGGAATACTTTTGCTTGTTCAGAGTCATTGGAGAAACCACTCAACTGGCTGCTTTTTAATTACTATTTGACCACCTGTATGCAGTCTTCAGTTAATAAGCACCGACACATGTTTGTCAAACAAATTGATATGGATCATGTCATGAAGGCTAAATCCATCAGAGAGTTTGGTAAATGATTCACCTCAGTCATGTTTGGATACCGGACAGTTGGTGATTATTACACTGATGCTAGTCCCAACCTCAGACTGAAATCTGTAGGAATTCCAGTGTTGTGTCTGAATTCCGTAGATGATGTTTTCTCACCCAGTCATGCTATTCCAATAGGAACTGCTAAGCAAAACCCTAACGTTGCTTTGGTCCTCACGACTTATGGAGGCCATATTGGTTTTCTGGAAGGAATCTGGCCAAGGCAATCCACTTACATGGATCGAGTCTTCAAGCAATTTGTGCAGGCCATGGTAGAGCATGGACATGAGCTTTCTACCATGCAGTTCTTGGGGTGCATTTTGGCTGAAGAACCATTGTAAAGGTATCTCCAATTAGTGCACAAATTTTAACTACTGTAAATATAGAAAATAAGCCAGCATATGGGTGAAGAGGTCCAGAATGACAAGCAAAAACTACTATTTAGGGAAACAAAACACCTTTGTAGCAAGAAACTAAATATAGAATTAGATTGTTACTTATGTAGATTTTATTTTTACTACACCTTACCAAATATGACCTTAAATAAAGTAGTACATACATGAAATTACACTTAACCCAAACTGTTGTGTAAGATTTTAATTCCTCAGGGTTTTAATTTAGGCTAGTTTTTTTTAGATTACTCATTTTAGGTGATTTAATGGTACTTTAATAACTGTTAAGATATTTTGGTTATATGGATGTAAATTATAAGTTAGCACATTCCTAAGGGTATTTATACTTGATGATAACATGAAAACTGAAATAAAAAACAATGGGTTAAATCTTTTATGTATTCTAACTCTGAAGGGCAAGTGCAACGATGTTAGACTGACTTATATACATGCTCTTCTACTCTGATATTAAATTAGGGCTGATTTATGTTTTATAATGATTATAATTTATGAACTTATTTTTAAAATAGTATATCTGTACACATATGTATCATTATATTAAAATAAATTATATCATTTAAAAAATAAATAAACGTATGTGCATCTAATTACAGGGCACCTGGCTAATTAAAAGAAATGTTAAGGGATTTAAAGGGAGACTTAGAATCCAATACAATAGTATTGGAGGACTTCAATACTCCACTTTCAGCAATGGACAGATCATGCAGACAGAAAATCAACAAGGAAACAGCACATTTAATGAAACTATAGACCAAATGGACCTAACATATATCTACAGAACTTTTCATCCTACAGTTTCAGAACACACATTCTCCTCAGCAGTACATGGAATTTTTTCTCTAGGATTGATCACGATAGGCCATAAAGCAAGTATCAGCAAATCAAAAAAAAATTGAAACCATACCATGCATCTTCTTGGACTACAATGGAAGGAAGCTGGATATCAGCAACTCAGGAATCTCTAGAGCATATGCAAACACATGGAGATTGAATAACATGCTCCTGAATGAACAGTGGGTCACAGAAGAAATCAAAAGAGAAATTTAAAAATTTCTGGAAACAAATGAAGACGACAACACAACATATCAAAAATTATGGGATACAGCAAAAGCAGTGCTAAGAGGAAAGTTTATAGCAATTAGTGCCTACATCAAGAAAATGGAAAAGCACCAAATAAATGAGCTATCAGTGCATCTCAAGGATCTAGAAAAATGACAGCAAACCAAACCCAAAACCAGTAGAAGGAAAGAAATAATTAAAACTAGAGAAAAATCAACAGAATTTAATCCAAAAATACAATACAAAAGATCAGCAAAACAAAGAGCTGGTGTATTGAAAAAATAAACAAAACTGAAACACCACTGGCCCAACTAACCAAAAAAAATGGAGAGAGAAGACCCAAATCAATAAAATTAGGGATGAAAAATGAAATGTAACAACAGACACCACAGAAATAAAAAGAATCATCAGGAATTACTACAAAGAGCTGTATGCCAACAAACTGTGAAATTAGAAGAAATGGATAGATTCATGGACACATGCATCCTATGTAAATTCAGCCATGAGGACACAGAAAACCAAAATAGACCCATAAGCAAGATGGAAATTGAATCAGAAATAAAGGCCCTCCCAATATAGAAAAGCCCAGGACCAGATGGCTTTGCTGCTGAATTCTACCACTCATTTAAAGAAGAGCTAACTCCAATTCTTCTCAAGTTATTCAAAAGAATTGAAAGAGAGGGAATCTTCCCAAATTCCTTCTACGATGCCAGCATCACTTTAATTCCTAAACCCAAAAAAGATGCAACAGAGAAAGAGAATTAGAGGCCAATTTTCCTGATGAAGATAGAAGCAAAAATCCTCAACGAATTCTAAGTAAATGAATCCAACAACACATCAGAAAGATCATCCACCTAGATCAAGTGGGATTTATCCCTGGTTTGCAAGGATGGTTCAGCATCCACAAATCAAACAATGTGATGCATCACATTAACAAACTGCTGAACAAAAACCATATGATTATTTCAATAGATGCAGAAAAAGCATTTGATAAAATATAACACCCTTTCATGATGAAAACCCTAAGCAAATTGGGTATGGAAGGAACATTCCTGGCCAGCGCCACAGCTCACTAGGTTAATCCTCCACCTAGCGGCGCCGGCACACCGGGTTCTAGTCCCAGTCGGGGCACCGGATTCTTTCCCAGTTGCCCCTCTTCCATTCCAGCTCTCTGCTGTGGCCCGGGAGTGCAGTGGAGGATGGCCCAAGTGCTTGGGCCCTGCACCCGCAAGGGAGACCAGGAGAAGCACCTGGCTCCTGCCTTCGGATCAGCGCGGTGCGCCGGCCGCAGCACGCCGGCCACGGTGGCCATTGGAGGGTGAACCAACGGCAAAGGAAGACCTTTCTCTCTGTCTCTCTCTCTCACTATCCACTCTGCCTGTCAAAAAAAAAAAAAAAGAAGAAGAAGAAGAAACATTCCTCAACACAATCAAGGCAATTTATGACAAACTCACAGCCAGCATGAATGAGGAAAAGTTAGAAGCTTTCCCACTGAGATCTGGTACCAGAGAGGAATGCCACTCTAATCATTCCTATCCAGTATAGTCCTGGAAGTTTTAGCCAGAGCCATTAGGCAAGAAAAATAATTCAAAGGGATACAAACTTGGAAGGAGGAAGTCAAAATACTCCTATTTGCAGATGACATGATTCTATATAGAGAGGATCCCAAAAGCTCCACTAAGAGACTATTGGAACTCATAGAAGGGTTTGGTAAAGTAGAAGAATATAAAGCCAATACCCAAAAATCCATAGCCTTTGCATACACAGACAATGCCATGGCTGAGAAAGAACTTCTAAGATCAACCCAATTCATAATAGCTACAAAAAAACAAATACCTTGGACTAAATTTAACTAAGGATGTTAAAGATCTCTAAGATGAGATTTACAAAACATTAAAGAAAGTAATAGAAGATACCAAAAAAATGGAAAAATCTTCCACGTCCATGGATTGGAAAAATCAATATCATCAAAATGTCCATTCTTCCAAAAGCAATTTACAGATTCAATGAAATACCAATCAAAATACCAAAGACATTCTTCTCAGATCTAGAAAAAATGATGCTGAAATTCATATGGAGGCACAGGAGACCTCGAATAGCTAAAGCAATCTTATACAACAAAAACAAAGCCGGAGGCATCACAATACCAGATTTTAAGACATACTACAAGGCAATTAGAATAAAAATAGTCTGGCACCAGCACAAAAACAGATGGGTAGACCAATGGAACATAACAGAAACACCAGAAACCAATCCAAACATCTACAACCAACTTATATTTGATCAAGGAGCTAAAACCAATCCCTGGAGTAAGGACAATCTATTCAACAAATGGTGCTGGGAAAACTGGATTTCCACATGCAGATGTATGAAGCAAGACTCATACCTTCCACCTTACACAAAAATGTACTCAACATGGATTAAAGATCTAAATCTATGACCTAACACCATAAATTATTAGAGAACATCGGAGAAACCATGCAAGACATTGATACAGGTAAAGAGTTCTTGAAAAAGACCCCAGAGGTGCAGGCAGTCAAAGCCAAAATTAACACATGGGATTACTTCAAATGGAGAAGTTTCTGTACTGCAAAACAAAGTCAGGAAAGTGAAGAAGCAACCAACAGAACAGGAGAAATTATTGGCAAACCATGCAACTGATAAAGGGTTAATAACCAAAATCTACAAAGATATCAAGAAACTTCACAACAACAAAACAAACAACTCACTTAAGAGATTGGTCGGCCGGGAGTGCAGTGGAGGATGGCCCAAGTGCTTGGGTCCTGCACCCACATGGGAGACCAGGAGGAAGCACCTGGTTCCTGGCTTCGGATCAGCGCAGTGCGCCAGCCGTAGTGCGCTGGCTGCAGTGGCTATTGAGAGGTGAACCAATGGAAAAGGAAGACCTTTCTCTCTGTCTCTCTCTCTCACTGTCTACTCTGCCTGTCAAAGAGAGAGAAAGAGAGAGAGAGAGAGAGAGAGAGAGAGAGAGAGAGAGAGATCGGCCAGGCCTGCACTGCAGCTCACTAGGCTAATCCTCCGCCTGCAGCACCAGTACTCCGGGTTCTAGTCCCAGTTGGGGCGCCGGTTCTGTCTCAGTTGCTCCTCTTCCAGTCCAGCTCTCTGCTGTGGCCCGGGAAGGCAGTGGCGGATGGCCCAAGTCCTTGGGCCCTGCACCCGCATGGGAGACCAGGAGGAAGTACCTGGCTCCTGGCTTCGGATTGGCACAGTGCACCAGCCATAGCGGCCATTTGGAGGGTGAACCAACCCAAGGAAGACCTTTCTCTCTGTCTCTCTCTCTCTCACTGTCTAACTCTGCCTGTCAAAAGAGAGAGAGAGAGAGAGAGAGAGAGAGAGAGAGAGAGAGAGAGATAGATTGGCCAAGGACCTAAATAGACGTTTTTCAAAAGAGAAAATCCAATTGGCCAAAAGACACATGAAAAAATACTCAGGATCACTAGCCAGCAGGGAAATGCAAATCAAAACCACAATGAGGTTTCACCTCACCCCAGTTAAAATGGCTTTCATACAGAAATCTACAAACAACAAATGCTGGCGAGGATGCGGGGGAAAAGGTACCCTGATCTACTGTTGGTGGGAATGCAAACTGATAAAACCACTATGGAAGACAGTTTGGAGATACCTCAGAAACCTGAATATAGTCCTACCATACAACCCAGCCATCCCACTCCTAGGAATTTACTCAAGGGAAAGGAAATCAGCAAATAAAAGAATTATTTGCACCCCCATGTTCATTACAGCTCAGTTCACAATAGCTAAGACACGGAATCAACCTAAATGCCTATCAACAGAAGACTGAATAAAGAAATTATGGGATATGTACTCTATGGAATACTACACAGCAGTAAAAAATCCTGTCATTTGCAACAACATGCATGAATCTGGAAAACATCCTACTTAGTGAAATAAGACAGTCCCAGACAAATATCATATGTTCTCCCTGATCTGTGATAACTAACAGAGCACCTAAAAGGAAACCTGCAGAAGTGAAATTGACACTGTGAGAAGCAATGACTTGAACAGTCCTTGTCTTGACTGTTGAGGATCAGCTTATTATCTTATTTTATTTTTACTATTTTCTTTTTCTACTTAATACCATTGGTTGAACTCTTTATTCAACACAGAATTATTCATAGGTGTTTAAATCCAATTGAAAATAGATCCCAGTAAAAAATAAGAGTGGGAATAAGAGAGGAGAGAGATGTACAGTTCTGCACACATTCCCATGGTGTTACCCCTAAAGGTAAATTTAAAAACTTGCCATGGGACTCCAAATCCCATTAAGCTGGGTGGTACTAATGTCATCTTATGTGTTAAAGTGATAATATTAAGTGTGTAATTATCATATAGATAGGATTAAGTGTCAAATGGATCACATAAATAAGACCAAGTGTCTGGTAGTAACAATAGAGAGAACTAAAAGGAGAGAATGTTCCAACATGGAAGCAATCCACACAGCAGACTCATAGAATGACAAACGCCTTAACCAGCACTCTAACCTCAGAATAAGCCCTTAAGGCATTCAGTATGTCTGAAAAGCCCATGAGAGCATTTCAGGCATGGAAAGCCAAGGGACTGTGGAAAAAAATTATCTACATGAAGGATCTCTGTGAGTGAGATCCCAGGGGAAAGAAGGGGCCATCAAAGAAGGATGTACCTTTCTCTGAAGGGAGGAGAGAACTTCCATTTTGTTTATGGCCCTGTCTAAATACTGACAGAATTTGTGGACTCAAAAGGCTTCCAGAGCCTTGACAGCTCATGTCAAGAGTCTTGGGAGATCACTGATGTCATAAATAAGAGTGTCAATTGTTAAATCTACAACAAGAGTCACTGTGTACTTCGTCCCCATGTAGGACCTCTGTCCTTAATGAGTTGTACTATGAGAATTAACTGTAAAGTACTTTCTACTTTGTGTGTCTGTGTGGGTGCAAACTGTGGAAATCTTACTTAGTATAGAGTTGTTCTTCTGTATATAAAGTTAATTGAAATTGAATTTTAGATGGGAGAGGAAGTAGGGGGTGGGATGGGAGTGGGGGGTTAGAGGGCAGGTATGGGGTAAAGAACCACTATATTCCTAAAGTTGTACCTATGATATTTGTATTCATTAAATAAAAGCTTTCTTAAAAATGATGATCTTACTAAAACAACAATTTCTAATAGAAAAAGATATCACTGCAGGAAACAAAGAAATAAATAATATACAAAAAAGAATATCAGTACAGGGCAAGTATTTGGTGCAGTGGTTAAGATGTTTCCTGGAAGGTTCAATGTTGTGGCATAGCGGGTAAAGTCATTGTGTGGGACGCTGTCGTCCCACATGGTCACTGGTTCAAGCCCTGCCTTCTCCACTTCCGATCCAACTCTGTGATAATAGCCTGGGAATGGCAGCAGCAGACGGCTCAATGATTGGGTTCCTGCCACCCTCAACGGAGACCCAGAGGAAGCTCCTGGCTCCTGGCTTCGTCCAGATGCTGCTGCAGCCACCAGGCTGTGAAACAGCAGACGGAAGACTTTTCTCTCACTCTCCTTTCTTTAAAATAAATCTGTCGCTCCCCCTCTTCGTGGAGGAACGACACTAAACCCTGCCTAGGCCTCATATCCGAGTCACGGCACCATTATGTCGCTGCCCCTCTTCGTGGAGGAACGACACAGGACCCTGCGCTGTTTTTTTGTCTACTCGGCCCTTCCCGGGTTTGCTGCTGGTTCTTCCCAGGTTGGCTACCGTCCCTTCCACCTCCGTGGAAGGGCGGTTCCCCCTGCCACTTTCCCCACTTCCGCAGGGGAGCGGCACACCGCCGGCCAGCTCTCTCGGGGGCTGCACAGGTGTTCCTTCAGATAGATGTTCCCCTTAGATGTTCCTCGTGCATGTTGTCTCTCTCCTCCTTTATAGTCCTCTTCCACCAATCCCAACTCGGCTGCCCACACGCCGAGTACGCTGCTCTCCTCCAATCAGGAGCAGGTCCCACAGTCTATTGGTTGAACTGGAGGCATCTGTGTAGAAGCTGTTTCCTCCTCTCCCAGCGCCATATTGTGGGAGAGCAGATGCATAGAATAAGTCTTAATTCCAGTAACTTAGTCTAGTCCGAGTTGCTCCCAGTTGCTCCCCACAAAATCAATATTTCTTAAAAGTAAAAGATGCCTCCTGGGATGCCCACATCCCATATCAAAGTGCCTTGTTCATGTCCCAGCTCAACTCCTCATTCCAGCTTCCTGCTAATGAGTAGTCCGGGAGACATCAGGTCAGGCTCAAGTACTTGGGTTGCTGCCCTTATGGGGGAGATCCCGGTGGAGTTCTGGGTTCCTAGCTTCAGTCTCACCCAGCCCTGACTGTTGGCAGGCATTTGTGAAATAAACTAACATATGGACACTCCCACTCTCTCTCTCTCTCTATCTCTCTCTCTCTTTCTCATTCTCACTTTGTCACTCTGCCTTTAAATGAATAAATCTTTAAAAAATAGTCTAGGGGCCAGCTTTGTGACTCAGCAAACGTATTACATCCCATGCTTACATGCCTAGGAAAGCAGATGAAGATGACCGAAGTTCAAGGGGCCACCCATGTGAGACCCGGATGAAGTTCCAGAGGCCACTCTTAAGCAATTTGTGGAGTGAGACAGCATAATCTCTCTCCTTTTTTCTCCCACTCTTTCAAATATATGAAACAAATATGTTTTCTTAAAGATTTATTTATATATTTAATAGAGTTACAGAGAGAGAAGGAGGCAGAGAGAGAGTTTTCTTCCATTTATTATTCACTCCCCAAGTTGCTACAACAGCCAAGTCTGAGCCAGGCTGAAGCCAGAAGGCAGGAGGTTTATCCAGGCCTCCCACGTGGGTACAGGGGCCCAAGCACTTGGACCATCTTCCACCGCTTTCCCAGGCCATTAGCAGGGAGCTGGATTGGAAGTGGAGTAACTGGGACACCAACTGGTGCCTGTATGGGATGATGACATTGCACGTGGTGGCTTTACCTGTTGTGCCACAATGTGGCCCTGAAATTAATCTTTTAAAAAGCATAAAGGATGGATTCATTTTGGTGTAAAAAGTTTCAAATATTCATGCTTCTTTTTTCAATACCCATCTCCATGAATGGTTTCAGACTCATGACACGTGACCCAGAATTCGTGTGTGGGATGTTATCATGAGCGGGTATGGCCACACAAAGAGACCCTGGCTATGAGTGGTTCTCTTGTGCCCACTCCCCAGATGAGAACACTGAGACCCAGTGCCCTGAAAGCACAGTGCTATGCTGTCACCTGCATGCTCAGTGAGGAATGAATGCAAATCCAGATGGGGACAGACTGTGACAGGAACAGTACCTTCCCCCAAGGGCTATGAGCAGGTGTTGGGCAATGTCTGGGCCATGGGGAAAGCTGTGGGCATTGTACACCTCAGGTCCACAGGTTCTGGACACAGAGTTACCTGGTAAGTGGCCACATCCAGGAAGTAATGAGCCAATTCCTTGTCATTGTATCCAGGGTCAGCAGGGTCATCCACCACATGGTTGTCGTGACACAGGAGATCCCAGCACAGATCCTTTGGCGGATGATAAACATTGGGGAGCACACCTGTGGACCACACAAGGTTCAGGGGGTGACCCTGTGCCCCAGAATCACCCTAGGGTCAAAACTGGTCATGCCTGACCCATGGCAAGTGTTAGAAGGTGCAGGGCCCAGTGCATAAGAAAACTCTAGGCTCTTTTTCACAATGGAATAAGATTATTTAAGACACTGACAGCGAAGCACTACATTAAACCCAGGGCCTGTGTGAGTCTGGGACCCTGGGTGATGGCTCAGCTCACCCCACAGCCTCACCTGTGAAGAGATCGGCGGTTGGGGGCTGCAGGCTGGTGCTGGCCCGCCACACCATCTCCATCTCCCGCTTCTTCTTCCGCATCTCTTTATCTTGATAATCCACACGCCCCAAGAAGATGCCATCAAAGCCCATCTGGAGGTGGGGAGGAGAGGGCACCAGGAATGAGTGCCCAGCCTTCCACCATCAAGCTCCCCTTGGCTTGGGAGAGGCAGGCAGAGCACAGGTAGACGGTGGAGCTAAAATCAAGTTTCTTTAAAAGCTTTGGAAAAAAACATTAAAAAGAAATAGAAGAAGATACACAAAAAAGGGGGGAAATCTTCCATGTTCACGGATTGGAAGAATCAATAGCATCAAAATGTCTGAACTACCAAACACAATTTACAGATTCAATGCGATCCCAATCAAAGTACCAATGACATCCTTCTCAGATCTAGAAAAAACAATACTGAAATACATATGGAAACACAGGAGACCTCAAATAGCTAAAGCAATCTTCTACAACAAATACCAAACCAGAGGCATCACGATATCAGATTTCAAGACATACTGTAGGACGGTTATACTCAAAACAGCCTGGTATTGGCACAAAAACAGATGGGTAGATCAATGGAACAGAATAGAAACTCCAGAAATCAATCCACATGTCTACAACTAAACTTTCACAAAGGAGCTAAATTCCATCCCCAGAGCAAGGATAGTCTCTTCAACAAATGTTGCTGGGAAAACTGGATCTCTGCATGCAGAAGTATGAAGCAAGACCCCTACCTTCCACCTTACACAAAAATGCACAAAAATGGATCAAAGACCTAAATCTATAGTCTGATGCCATCAAATTATTAGAGAACATTGGGGAAACCCTGAAAGAGATTAGCAAAGGCAAAGACTTCTTGGAAAAGACCCCAGAAGCACAGGCAATCAAAGCCAAAATTCACAAATGGGATTACATCAAGCTAAGAAGCTTCTGTACTGCAAAAAAACACGCAAAGTGAAGAGGCAGCCAACAGAATGGGAGAAAATATTTGCAAACAATACAACTGATAAAAGATTAATATCCAGAATATATAAATATAAAATAATATCCAGATATATATAAACACATAAAGAGCTCAAGAAACTCAACAACAAAATAAACAATCCAGTTAAGAAATGGGCAAAGGACTTAAACAGACTTTTTTCAAAAGAGGAAATCCAAATAGCCAACAACATATGAAAAAAATGCTCAGGATCACTAGCCATCAGGGAAATGCAACTCCAAACCACAAGGAGGTTTCCCCTCACCACCATTAGGATGGCTATCATCTGAAAATCAAAAAACAATAAATGCTGGAGAGGCTATGAGGAAAAGGATACCCTAATTCACTGTTGGTGGGAATGTGAACTAGCACAACCATTGTGGAAGACAGAATGGAGCTCCCTCAGAGACCTGAAAATACATCTAACACATGATCCAGCCATCACACTCCCAGGAATTTACCCAAAAGAAATAAAATCAGCATATGAAAGAGCTATCTGTACCCCCAAGTTTATTACAGCTCAATTCACGATGGTTGAATATGGAATCGACCCAGATGTCCTTAACTGAAGACTGGATAAAGAAATTATGGTTTATTGGGACCAGTGCTGTAGTGCAGAAGGTCAAAGCCCTGGCCCTCAGTGCCAGCATCCCATATAGATGCCTGCTCAAGTCCTGGCTGCTGCACTTCTGATTCAGCCTCCTACTAATGCACCTGGGAAAGCAGCGGAGGGTGGCCTCAGTCCTCGGGCCCCTGCATCCATGTGAGAGACCTAGACTAGGCTCTTGGCTCCTGGCTTTGAATCAGCTCAGCTCCAGCTGTTGTGGCCATTTGGAGAGTGAATCATCAGATGGAAGGCCTCTTTCTCTCTCTCTCTTTTTCAAATAAATAAAATAAATCTTTTTCAAAAAGAAATTATGGTATATGCACACCATGGAATACTACACAGTGATAAAAAATGAAATCCTGTCATTTGCAAAAAAAGAAATGGATGCAATTGGAAACTATTATGTTTAGTGAAATAAGCCAGTCCCAAAAAAGACAAATACCATATATGCTCTCTGATCCATGGTAATTCATAGAGTACCTGAAAGGTAATCTATAGAAGTGAAATTGACACTTTGAGATGCGATGACTCTGAACAGACCTTGTCTCAACTGTTGAGGAAAAGTTTTTTTATACTATTTGTTGAACTTTTTACTTAGTGCAGGGTTAATCTCATGTGTATAAGGATAATTAAAAATTGATCAAAGTAAAAAATAAGAATTTGAATAGAAGAGGGTGGAGAAAGAAAAGTGGGAGTGTGGGAGGGATGGAAGCTAGGGTGGGAAGAATCACTATGTTCCTAAATTTGTATATATGAAATGCACAAATTTCTATACCTTAAATAAAGTGTTTATAGATTTTCAAAATTTATAATTTTATTTAAAAATAAAAATAAATAAAAGCTTTGGGAGGAGTCAAAGCACACCATGTGGCCTCTGCGAGGAGGCGGGACCATTGTCAGAATCCATCTCCACCTGCCCAGCAATATCAATGCCACAAGGAAGGCTCCACCTTTCACAGTCAGGGTGGCTGGGGTCAGAACACTGGGACGGAGCTGGCTTTAAAGCAGCCAAGGCCTCCGCCTGTCACTCATCTTGGAAAGGAGCAAGAGACCTGAGAAGGGGTGTGGTGTCGGCGAGGGGAACGGAGCCACTGAGTCGGGGTCAGCCTTGGGTTGAGAATTGCCAGGACTCCAAGGGGTGGAGTTTCATTAGGCCAAGAATGGCCCCAGGGAGATGGCAGGGAAAAGGCGGGGCTTGAATGACCAAGAGAGGAGTCAGGGCGAGTGAAGGGGTGGACCTAAGAGAGAACCACACAGCACCTGCGCAAAGAGCGAAGCCTGTTCCCGAGAGTGCCCAAAGGGGTCGATGTGCCAGGCCACACGGGGGCGCCCGTCGTCGCCGAACGTGTCCTGCAGGAAGCGCAGCCCCAGCGTCATCTGGTCCACGATGGCGCCATAGTGGGTGGCCGCCTCGTCGTTCATCACCCAGCCACCGTTGGCAAACTCCAGGCGCCCTGCGCGGGAAGGGGCAGGGGCGGGGTCAAGGGCAGGGACCTGGTCCAGGGAGAGTGGTGCTGGGATGAGAGGAGAAAGGCGTTCACTCCCCGTCTCAGAAGCCAGGGTTACAGGAGGAAGCTGAGCCGGGCTTCCATTTCCCCGTCCTTGGGGCAGGCTCACCCTGGCGCACCAGCTCCCGCACGGCTTGCTGGGTTGCGTTCGTCTGCTGGTGCCACCAACGGGAGAAGAAGGCCATCTCCACGTAGACGAACCTGCGGCTGGGCTCTGCCCGCAGGGCGGAAATGACCGAGTCCAGGATGTTCTTCACGGCCCCGTGGTGGAGCACATTCCGAACTGTGGACACAGGGGTTGGGCACTCAGGGACCAGGAGAGCCAGGGAGACCCTCCTCCACAAAGGAGCCCAGGCCAGGCATTGCCCCCACCGTGCTGTCCAGGAATTAGAAGGGGTTGGAAGCCCAGGATGGGTGTCTGGGGCCACGCCCACCGAGTGCTTACCCCCATAGTAGTACTGGTCCACTGTCTTGATCCAGCCCACGTCATCATGTGTGTGGGGCAGCAGGTGAACGTTCAGCATGTCTGGCTGCACCGTGGGGCATGTCTGCACGGGGACCCAACACACACACACACACACACCCGTGTCAGTACCCCAGGGCAAAGAGGTGGAGTGGGGGAGGGGCCGGCTCAGGGGACTGCATGATGGACATTGTGGCACGGTGGCGGGGCCCTGACCTGAGCCTGACTGTGTACAAAGGAGGCCAGGCCCTCCCAGGCAGGACACACGCATCGCGGTGCTCACACGCACAGCTCCCACCCCGCACAGCCCCCAGCGCGGCTCTCCCTCTCCCCCTGGGAAAATCATCAGAACCCTGGCTGAGGTGCGTTCAGCCCCGCACACAGCTGACCTGCGGGCGTCCTGGGGCACACAGAGGGCAGTGACCTGGGCAAGGGGGCCTCAGGAAGTGGAGGAGCCAGGGTGGACCTCAGGGAGGCGGCGTCCACAGCCCCGGTTCTCTCTGAGCGCTCCCCCCCACGCCCCCACACTGCCCTCACGGGGCTCGCACACTCAGGCCGGCGGCCCGGGGACCTCCTCCACCATGGCAGCCCGCACGCATTCCGATCCCGTGTGGGACCCGCCGCCCCTCGGAGGCACCTCAAGATCGGACTCGTCCACACCCTCCTCAGGGCTTCTCCCGGCCGGTTCGCTCACCTCGTATCCCGCGGCGCGAGTGCCGGGCGCCGCCACCAACACCACAAATAGGACGGGCAGAGGCGGGGGCGGTCCCCGCATGGCGCGCCCCGAGTCCCCCCAGCCGCCGGCGCAGACCCCCGAAGCACGACCGAGGGCGGTCATGGCTCCGCTGTCACCGCCGCCGCCGCCTCAGCCGCCGGCGCTGCCTCAGGAGGGTTCCCGGGTCCGGCCGTGCAGTGGGTGGGGGGTTGGCGCGAAGGCTCCGCCCCCAGAACGCATCCTGACCAATCGGCGCCGGAGGGGCGAGGCCAACTTGCACTGGCGCCGCCCAGGACTGAGGCTGGCGCTGAGTCCTCGCGGTCCCAGAACCCAGCCAAGCGCGCGACAGGTACTGCCTTCGGGGTGCTGGACGGCCCAGGGGCGCCCTTAGCCGCTCGCCACTCCGTGGGGCACGGGAATGACTCTGCCCCCTGAGGGTAGGGGCCTCAGCTTTTCCTGCAGCTTCTAGATTTTCCTAGAGGATGGAGGGTGCACGGGGGGAATTCCAGGGTGTCCTATTTAGGGGAGACCCTGGAGGGACCGAGCTGGGCTTGATGAGGAGCGGTTCCGCCCGCTGGGGAAACGAAGTTTCCTCGCAGAGCCTCAGCTCCCACCAGGGCAGCCAGAGCCTCATCTTTGTACTAAGAAAACCAAATCCCAGATTGCTTAGTGGGTGGAAGTCTCTCTCTCTTTCTGCTTCTGCCTCTCTGTAATACATCCTCTCAATTAAAGACAAATTTTTTTTAAAGAGAGAGAGAGATTTGTGGTTGACCGGATCTAAGGAACCATCCCTGCCAGCCTAGGAATACAACTTGGGTGGGGCACCCCCTAGGGTGCCGCCTTTTACCTTCCCTGTGAATCAGCCTGGCACTAGCCAAGGAACCTGCCACAGCCAAGAGCTTGGAACTCCAGCTGAGTTTCCCACATAGGCAGCAGGGGTCTAAGCACTTGGGCCATCTTGCCACTGCTTTGCCAGGGGCATTAGCAGGGAGGTGCATGTGGGGTGGAGGAGTTCAGTCTTCCACCCCAAGGTGCACTTCCTAAACACCATAACTAAATGAAGTTCCCACCCTGTCAGTACCCTAAGTCTATGACTTAGGGTTAGAAAAGCTAGATGAGGGGCCAGTGTTGCCTGTAAGTCCCAGCTGCTCCACTTCTGATCCTGCTCTCTGCTATGGCCTGGGAAAGCAGTAGAAGATGGCCCAAGTCCTTGGACCCCTGCACCCGCGTGGGAGACCTGGAAGAAGCTCCTGGCTCCTGGCTTCGGATCAGCTCAGCTATGGCCATTGCAGCCATTTGGGGAGTGTACCAGCAGATGGAAGACCTCTTTCTCTACTTCTCTCTGTAACTCTGTCTTTCAAATAAAATAAATCTAAAAAAAAAAAAAATCTGCATGAGCCCAGAAGCCAAATCCCATTCACTCCACAGCAGCTGTGTCCTCTCATGTTGTAGATTCACCAACATTCCAATCAAAGCAGTGACTTGGAAAAATCGGGGAAAGGGCCATCCAGCAACCACGCTCCAGGCCTGAGTAAAAGCAGGACCAGGGCACCCTCCTCAGGCTTCCCTACCCAGCCTTAGGGGCTTCCTTCCTCCCACTTGGCCACCCCCACTTACAAAGAGGTCTTGGCCCATAGCCCGGCTTCAGGGCCCCATGCAGGGTGGCAGCTGGCCCTGGGGCTCCCCCTGCTGGCCTCTTTCTTTGACTGCAATTTGGGACTCGAGCCTTTTCAGACAAGAGCCTAAGATAACCCAGGCCCATCAGGAGCTGTGGGCACCCTGGTCACCATACCCGAGCCTCCCTTGCTGGCCAGGTCCAGTCTCTCTTAATGGAGGGGGGGCAGAATTTAGAAAAACTGGCACAACCTTGGAGCTGGTATTGTGGCACAGCAGGTGAAGCCACTGCTTGCAAGGCCAGCATCCCATAATGAGACACAGGCTTGAATCCCAGCTACTCCACTTCTGATCCAGCTCCCTGCTAAGGTACCTGGGAAGGCAGCAGGAGATGGCTCAAGAACTTGGGCCCCTGTCACTCATGTGGGAGACTCAGATGTCATTCCTTCTTCCTAGTTTTACCCTGGCTCAGCCATGACTGTTCTGGTAATTTGAGGAACAAACCAGTGAATGGAAACATATCTTGGGACTGGCACTGTGGCGTAGTGGGTAAAGCCGCTGTGTGCAGATCCAGCATCGCATATGGACACCAGTTCCAGTCCCAGCTGCTCCACTTCTGATCCAGCTCTCTGCTATGGCCTGGGAAACCAGCAGAAGATGGCCCAAGTCCTTGGGCCCCTGCACCTGTGTGAGAGACCTGGAGGAAGCTCCTGGCTCCTGGATTTGGATCAGTGCAGCTCCAGGTGTTGCGGTGATTTGGCGAGTGAACCAGCAGATGGAAGACCTCTCTCTCTCTCTCTGCCTCCACCTCTCTGTAGCTGTGCCTTTCAAATAAATACATAAATCTTAAAAAAAAAAAAAAAAGTCAACTGGGGTAAGGGGGAGGGGACAAGCAGTGTGGCCCAGTGGGCTAGGCTGCTGTTTGCCAAACCAACATCTCATATAGCAGCAACAATTCCAATCCTTGAGGATACTCTGGTGGTTCCACTACCTGTTAATGTAACTGGGAAGACAACAAATGGTGGCCTAAGTACTTGGGTCCCTGTCATCCATGTGGGTGAGCTGGATAAAGTTCCAGGATCCTGATTGGTCACCACCAGCACAACTTTAGAGGCCTATTGGGGAGAAAACCAGCAGATGGGAGATCTATCTCTATCTCTGTCTCTATCTCCATCACTCTGCTTTCAAATATGTAAGTGAATTAATTTAAGATTTATATATTTATTTGAAAGTCAGAGTTACAGAGAGAGACAGAGAAGGAGAGGCAGAGAGAGAGAGAGGTCTTCCATCCACTGGTTCACTCCCTAGTTGGCAGCAACAACTATCCCAATCTGAAGACAGGAGCCAGGAGTTTCTTCCAGGTCTCCCATGCAGGCACAGCGGCCCAAGGACTTGGGCCATCTTCTACTGCTTTCCCAGGCACATTAGCAGAGAGCTGGATCAGAAGAGAGGCAGCCGGGACTCAAATCGGGGTCCATATGGGATGCGGGCACTGCTTACGGCGGCTTTACCCACTATGCCACAGCGCCAGCCTCTAGGTCATACATTCTACCTCCCTCTAAAAGATGCCACAAAGAGTCCTTTGGTGACCTGAGTGTCATCACTATTTTAATGGCATTTTGGGCGGCAGCACGGGGGCAGAGGGGAAGAGTCGGACTCCCCCCAGGAGCAGAGAGCTCAGGCTTGCAAGGTGACTTCCCCGCAGGTCCTGCCATCCTCTTTCCACTGGACCGAGGCCACAAACGTGCGAATCTCCATGGGCTGCAGCGTGATGTTGGCCAGGTCCAGAGCGGGCACCGAGGGGTTTGGTACAGGGCCTGGGCAGGGGAGACCCAAGAGTGAGAATTCCCTGCCCTCCTTCACTCCCTCCCCTGGGCCTGAATACCTGTGGGTCTCCAGATGTCCTCCCAGGGCTCATCCTTGACATTAAACTATTTCTGCATGCCTAAATACCACCGCTAGACACCCCACCCCCACATTCCTCTGCAATGCCTGGCCCTCGCCCTCACACCCTCAAAGCAACCCCAGAACTAGACAACCACAGAGACACTCGAAACTTGTTCCCGGACCCCAATGCTCAACCCACACGACCTGTTGCTTGCTTGTTGAACCCACTTTGGACCTTGAAGCCCTGAGCCTGGATCTGCCCAGGGTCCTGAGGTTCTACACTGGATCCTGGCCCACATTCCCATGCCTCATACAGCGCCCCCAGCTGCCAGCCCCAGGCAGGAGCCCACCCCTCCTACACTAGGTGCCCACCGGTGTCTGGTGTCCATTTGAGCCTGGAGGCGCTGGCCCGGGGCTGGTTGGCCACCAGCGTGGTCTCCTGCAGGCGGGTGATGGTGAAGGTGGAGAACAGGTTCTGCGGGAACAGTGGACAGGACCTGATCAGTGGGGGCAAAGGTGGCTCCCCTACCCCACCCCCTGTTTCATCTCCCTCGCGCCCATTTCCTGTCTGTTTCCCACATCTGCTCTCCTAACCTGTAAATCCAAGGTCACGGGGGAGCTCAAGTTGCGGCCCGAGTCCTCCCCGCTGGCGAACTGGTGCTCCAAGCGCAGCAGCAGTGTCTGTGGGCCCCAGCGGGCCAGGGTGAGCAGGTGCACGGAGGGCGGAAGCTCCCGGCACAGCCCTGAGAACTGCGGGGAGACGGAGGTGGGGCTGAGTCAGAGAGGGGCAGGGCTTGGAGCAAGGTGGGCGGGGCTTGTGGCAGGGTGGGCGGGGCTCAAAGAGGAATGGACTGGATCTTGTAGTTCTGAGCCAATGAGAGGACGGGGTGGTCCCAAGGTGGAGGAAGATTCCACCTGCTGGTGTCTGAGGCCCGAAGGGGCAGTACCGATGGTGTGAGACCAAGGATGAAGATCAAGAAAAGGACGTGTGGGGTGGGCGAGGCAAGAGGGAGATGCATAAGGGGCGGGGCCTAACTGGGGCGGGGCGGGGCCAAGACGGGGAGGCGATAGTGGGGCGGGAGCTGGGGCTCTGCCCTACCAGCGGAGGCGTGGGCGGGACCACCAAGGTGGCAGACCTAACTGACAGGCTCCCAAGTGCAGCCTACGTCCCCCCAGGTGGCTCCCAACCAAGCCAAGCCCCACCCTCCACAGGCTCCATTCGCATTCTGTCTCTCAGCCTACAGTGCCGGCCCTCACCTCGGTGAGCCGGGCCATTCCGGGCTGGTAGGGGGCACCGCCACCGGGGGCCAGCACCATCTGCGGGGCCAGGACGTCCTTCTCTGCCAGCAGCCGGTGCCCCGCGGCCGCCGTGCCCACCGCGTCCAGCAGCACGAGGTGGTGCCCTCGCACCCACGACCCCGATCCCTCCTCCAGCAGCGGCTCCCCCACTCCACGGTTATCATCCAGAAGCAGCCTGCGGTGCACCTGGGGGGCAGCAGCAAGGAGAGCCGTAGGGCCCAGCACGGGTCCTTGTCCTCCGTCCCACAAAGACTTGGAAGGAGGACCCTTGGGTGGCTGTGGCTCCCCCACGCCCACTCACCATGAGCTCCAGCGAGCCATCCTGCAGGCTGCTGCCCCCCTGTGAGCGATCCGTCAGCACCGTCAGCTGCTTCTTCCCGTCCTGGGGGGCAAGGTGAGTGTGAGGGTGGGGTGGGGATCCAGCTCCATCCCCAGGCACCTGGGAGATGCCGCCAGTGAGGGGCGCTCCCCATTCTGTACAGGGGGATGTGTGGGGTGGGGGAGGGTACCGTGATGTAAATTCGAGTGTTGACTGGATAGTAGTTCCCCGCCACAGGCTCTGTCTGGTTCAACTTCCAGGTGGGCCGATAATTCCTCCTGGGGAATGGAGGTCACCTGGTCAGGCTGGGGGACCGGCTCCCCCACTCTGCTCTCTCCCTTCTTCCTGTCCCTCCCACATTCACACCATCAGCCAGCGCCCCCGCCCCTGGGCCCCACACATCACCACTGCCCCACGGGTGCCCTGCGTCCCCGTCACCTCCTCTTCAGGATCTCCCGGCCATTGCTGTCCGTGTAGAAGTAGCCCTTGGTGTCCAGCGGCGTGTCGAAGCGACTGATCACTTCCTTCCCCCACTTGTCACTGTACTCAATGGGACAGCAAGCTCGTGAGCCTCATCTAAACTCACTCTGGGCAGTGGTGTTGGGGGCAGTGGCTAAGACGCCAGTTGGGACGCCACCACCCTGTATCACAGTGCCCGGGCCTGAGTCCCAGCTGTGTTCCTGCTTCCTGCCTCTGTTGATGCAGACCCGAGAGACAGCAGTGACAGTGACAGCCCTGCCACCCACAGGGGACCAGGTTGAGCTACCAGCTCCCAGCTTCCTCCTGGCCTAGCTCCAGGCCTTTCGGGGCATTTGAGGAGTGAACCAGATGGGAGGAATCTGTCTAAAGGATTCAATCTCTTTTCTAACTCCATTTCAAAAACAACGATATTTTAAAATAAAGCATCCTGAATCAGTTCCCCCCCCCCCCCAGCCCCAGCCCCAGCCCAGGCACTCACCCCACAGGGATGGGCCCCACCGTCCACTCCAGCTCCAGGTGGCGCTGTCCGCGGTACAGGCGAACCACCTGGGAACACCAGGCTGAGAAGTTCTGGTGCACCTCCTGCACCAAGGGCGTCTGAGGACACACAGGGCAGAGGGCGGGGCTCAGCCCAGCCTTGGGCAGAGGGGAGGTGTGCAAATGCCCCCTGCTGTGAACCTTCTAGAGGTTTCCATCAGCGTCCAGCCCAAAACTGCACAGGACTCCCAGCCATCACCCCACCTGCCTGGATGTGATGCCCACACTTCCCGCTCAGTCCCTGCCCTGAAGTCTTGAGTGGGGCCCATGTGCTGGCTGCCCACATAACCTCCCCTGCCCTCCTCAGAGCTCAGTTCCTGCTCCACATGTGGCTCCCTGCAAACGACTACGTTGTCCCACTTCCCTGAGGCTATCAGTAGCTAGGCGATCACGCCACGGTCTGTCTCACTGGTTCAAATACAGATGGAATGGCTGGAGCCTGGGAGCCATGCTGGAAGGACCATGAGGAGCTGACTGTAGAGGAAGGCAGTGCACCGAGACAGAGGGGCCTGGGAATCACCCCAACATCCCTGGTAGACCAGCCTGACTTGGTGTTAAAAAGAGTTTTCGTCATGGCCGGCACCACGGCTCAATAGGCTAATCCTCCACCTAGTGGCGCCAGCACACCAGGTTCTAGTCCCAGTCGGGGTGCCAGATTCTTTCCCGGTTGCCCCTCTTCCAGGCCAGCTCTCTGCTGTGGCCCAGGAGTGCAGTGGAGGATGGCCCAAGTCGTTGGGCCCTGCACCCCATGCGAGACCAGGAGAAGCACCTGGCTCCTGCATTCGGATCAGCACGGTGCGCCGGCCGCAGCACGCCAGCCACGGCGGCCATTGGAGGGTGAACCAATGGCAAATAGGAAGATCTTTCTCTCTGTCTCTCTCACTAGCCACTCTGCCTGTCAAAAAAATTTTTAAAAAAAAGAGTTTTTGTCTCACTTAGAAACAGTTAACTTGGGTAATCAGTCACAATCGACAAGACCGCATCCTACTATACCGATGACCTAGGCGGGAAGGCACACGCCTCGAGAGGAAGAACATCAACTCCTGAGCCCGCACAGATGCGGGTCTTGCCATTGCCTGTCCTTCTCCCACTCTATGACAACACATGGATACAAGAACCTGGAATACTGCCCTTCCCTAAAAACCAGGCATCTCTGCAAGTGCCAACGCTCCAGTCTCCACTCGCAATATCAACTCCTCTTACACTGACCTCGGGGACTTCTGCAGGTCCCTGTCCTGGGCTCTCCCCACATGTGAACACCCAAGCCTGATATCCAATGCTGCCGGTAATCCCGACACCCACAGCAGGGGTCACTGGCGTCACGTGTGCGTCTCTAGGAGAGGCAGCCGCCTCTCATTAGCCCCTGTAACCCTCTTCCCTCAGGGACACTGGACTTCTCTCCCCTCTCCACCTGGCACCTGGCACCCACCCATCCCCTCCCCACTGCCCACTCATCACATCACTCCTGGCCCCAGACCTTCAGCACGCGGATCTGAGCCCAGCGGCTCACGGGCAGTGGTTTCAATCCATAGGGTCTAAAGATGTAGGCTCCAGAGGGCTGACCGCTTCTCTCGTCACCTGTACTGGCGTTATACCTGGAGTTGGGGCAGGTGAGAGTTAGATAAGGGGCTCCGGCTCCACAATGCCCCCCTCCTTGGCCTGTGGATCCCCCTCACCAGAAAAAAGCCTGGCTCACGGGCAGCACGAGTTTCTGCTCCAAGTCCTCAATCTGCATCAAGAGGCCTGTCTCAGGGTTGAAGGTCGCCCGGATGTACTGTGCAGAAAACGGAGGACACACAACAAAGGGCACAGCCTCAGCCAATGGCAGCTCCGTTCTTCCTGGAGCTCAGGACAGCACCCTGCAGTGCCCCCTCCTCCTCTCACTCTCCTACTCCTCACTTTGGATCCCATTAGAGGATCCTAACG